AAATTAAAATTTGAAATTCTTTTTGAAAAAAAGCAGCACTGCATTAAAAGCAGATACGATTCTGAAAATCGCTACATGGGCACAGGAATACTTCCAAAAACCACTGGCTATGAACACAGTTCATCGCTGCATCCACAAAAAGGCAAGTTAAAACTCTACTATACAAAGAAAAACTATATATAAACAGGATCCAGAAACACCGCTGCCTTCTCTGGGCCCGAGCTCATTTAAGACCATGTCCTCCAATCATGGACACCGTGTCCTCCAGGCTAAAGAGGAGAGGGACCATCCAGCTTGTTGTCAGCACACGGTTCAAAAGCCAGCATCCGGCTTAGTCCTGGTGCTAAACTGGCCTGCCTACAGTTCAGACTTGTCGCCCATTGAAAACATTTGGCAAATGCTGGTGCTCACTAACAGACACAGGGCCTCATTCACCAACCATTCTTAAGAAGAAATTTCTTCTTAAAACCCACTTACACAGTTTTCACAAAGATTCTGACAGTGACCAGTGTTTTCTTACTTGGGATTTGTTTTTAGGTAAGAACAGAATCTACACACACTCAAGAACACAAAGGTGAGAACAGTTCTGCGGTTTGAGAACACGTCATGAATCTGACAGGCTTTTGCTTAGGAGCTTTATCAAGAAATAATAAAAAAAAAAACTGGTGAATGAGGCACATTGTTATATCAGATCAAGATTTAAAGTGCATTAGATAGGAGGTGCGTTGTCAGGAGGCTTTATTGTAGACTGAACTCCACATAGTATATTACTGCAATATACCGTATGAATTGAAAGGCGTTGGCAGGAACTTCAGATGCTGAGATAATTATTTCAATATAATTATTGCAATAAAAACTCTCAAGACATTGTCTTTTGGCAGGCAAGAGATTTCTTCCCCAACATGTCCTCTCTTGCAGTTTGCAGAGAAATTTCAGGAAGCTATTTTACAGTTAGTTAGAGAAATTCTACCATATTTTATATATATATATACACACACACACAGATTTTTTTCCAGCATAATTGGATCTTTGACAAAAAATGATTGATTATGGAGAAGTTTATTGACTGAGATTTCAGGTCAAGTCAGCTTTATTGTCATGTTGTTCATTGAAACAATCAGAAAGACTTCTCAGGGGCTGAATTACGCAGGAAGTTTGGAATTTCTCTTTAAGAAAGTTACCCGAATATGCTGGGATTAATCACATTCACTACATTTATTATGTTATTACGATTACGATTCCAGACAACTGGTTGTGACCGCAAGCTGTTAAGTGCACTTTAAAATAGCCACTTGAGTTTAACTGTCTGAAGCTCCTCTTTTACTCTGTCCTCATCAAATTGGAACTCCGAAAAGGGGTGTGTGTGTGTGCAGTTACTCAGATTGACCACAAGAGGGAGCCATCTAAACATGATCAGAGTGAGAGAGCCGGTGAATGGTGAAAGTTGGAGAAATCCTGGTGACCTCATTCATTGCAATATTTGTTTTCTCTGCACTAGCAGGATTAGATTTATCAGATAATTATGAAGCTCAACATGAGCTGAGTCAGGCGAGTTAAAGTAGGAAAACACAGTCTGCAATATCAATACTGGAGTTAAGACCCAGCACTCTATTGAGTCCTTACAGAGGGAATATGGGTGTGGCTATAGTATGAGTATATACTGTTCTGTCTAGTATGTCAAGCATAATGCATCAGTAGAGTTATAATTTTTAATTTGTTTGTTTAACCGTTATTTACGAGGTGAGATATTAAGAACAGAATTCTCATTTACAATATCAGCCTGGCAGGTGCCAGAAGAGAAATTATTTACAGATGTCAGTTAAACCATATAAAGATTAAAATCAAGAAGTAAAACAGTTACAACGGTCATTGAAAGTGCTATAAAGTAGGCCCTGAAACGCAGTGACTGAAATGAATGTATCCACTTTTAATGTTTTCTGTAACAAATCCCAGTCATTGGCAGCAACAGACTGGACTGACATTGGACCAGAGGATGTGTTAACTTTTGGGGTCCTTACTCTGATGCAATGGGAGGGCCGTGTATTATACTTGACCACAGATTCTACATGGGGAGTAACCAAGGAGAGTTTTATGAGTACCATAAACCAGTGGATGTTACGATGAGCATGCGGAGAGGGCCATTTGACTTTTGAAAGGTTCCTTTGCAAGCAAAACTATAAATTGTGTCCCCATAATAATACTAAACAATCATGCTTTTTGCAGTAAGTGTAGCAGAGGATCGATTTGTGTAAGTTTTACTTTTTGGTTGCAACATGTCGACACGGTAATTCCACCCCACAGCTGCCATTATCTTAGGTTTTTTGATAAATTACATCAGTATGACTGTGTGTGGTGTCGTAGCAATTGCAGTGCACAATGGGATCGTTCACTTCTGGGTTCCTTGAAGACCAGAGCACACCGACCCAACAAACACTCCTAATGCTTCTCCTGCTTTTCCCCTTTTCCGTATCTTATAGTAATGGTCAAACCTTTTTCTCTGGTCATATTCCTCGTGTTATTGTTTTGCTATCCGGTGTTGACCGAAGGAGGATGGGTTTCCCTTTTGAGACTTGGTTCCTCTCAAGGTTTCTTCCTTTTGCTCTTAGGGAGTTTTTCTTTGCCACTGTTGCCATTGGCGACGCTCACTGGGGGCTCGGACCCGGATTTTTCTGTAAAGCTACTTTGTGACAACGCCTGTTGTAAAAAAGCGCTGTATAAATAAACTAATGCAGCTTTGCAGTTTAGGCTATAGACTGATGAACCAAATAACCACTGTGGACTGAGGAGAACATTCTAGAAAAGTGTGCAGTTGGGGGAAGAACCTTCTAGAATGTTGTAGAACAATATGAACAAGGAAAGACAGTGTAAAACAGTATAAATGGCAGGAAGGGGGGGGTTTCTAGAACAGTGTGCATGAGGGAAGTCTTCAACGAAATGAGGAAGAACTATCTAGAACTGTGAATTGTAGGGAGAACTTTCTAGAACAGGGGTAAACAGCTCTGGTCCTCGAGGGCCGGTGTCCAGCACAGTTTGGTAGTCCTCACTGAACCTGGCAATTAACAGATGAGTTGAAACAGCTGTGTTTGAGCAGGAAAGTCTCCAAACTGTGCTGGACATCAGCCCTCTGGTAGTGGAGTCCTGTACACCCCCTGCTCTAAAACAACGTGAAAGAGAACTTTCAGGAACAGTATGAATGTGGGAGAATATTTTACAACAGTGTGCATGAAGGAGTACCTTCTAGAACAGTGTGGATGGGAAGAACCTTCTAGAAGAGGACTTTCTAGGACAGTGTGAATGTGGGAGAGCATTCTAGAGTAGTGTGAATAGAAGGAGAACATTCTAGAACCAGAGTGAAGTTTGGGTATGTTTGTTAGGTCTGTGTGCTTGAAACTGATACAGTCAAAACACATTTAAAATATCCAAAGTAAGTGGACGATACAGGCATTTATTCATTACTGTGGAGAGAAAATTTGTATTTAACCCACGTGTGCTCAGATAGTTCGCTGTGATCACCCTGATGTACCACTGGCAACCCATTTAAACAGGTTCTACAACTTGCATGAATATCAGAATTGATATTTTATTAATTAATTTTTATTATTTTATAATAAAAATTTTATTATTTATTTTATTATTTTCATTTTGGGTTCCTTTTTTTTTGCTGTAAATAATGTGCACTTGCAGCATTGAACGCTGTTACACCTGTATCAAAATGTCATAGCGTAGTAATACGTGACTGGGCTAAATAGCCAGTTGTCTCCTAACTTTCAAAGTAGCACTTTACTTGATTCTTGTTATTTAAATAGGCTATTTTTTCATTTGACAATGTAAAATGCCAGCTTAGCCCATTAAAGAGCAAGACATTTTATATAGATTGTGGCTTTGGCCAATACTGTAAACGTGCTAATGTGTTTCTGGTTTACACAAAAATGTAATAAAAAATGGCAAAAAAAAATGGCCACCAGCCAATTTGGCTGTAAAGAAATTGTAATTGGCTACAAAATTGCTTGCTTGGTGTAGTACAAACTGTGGTAAGTGGCGATTTCATTGCTAAACTCTTTATTACTTTACATTCATCTAGAAAGTACAGTCAGTGCCAGCGGTTTACTGGTTATAGTTTATGTTCAGTAGATTAGAGACGTCAGCAGGTTGCATAAAATACATCAACCAGCCTAGTCATTTAATACACCCCCTCATATCTACACTCATTGTCCATTTTATCAGCTCCACTCACCATAGAGGTGCATTTTGTAGTTCTGCGATAACAGACTGTAATCCATCTGTTTCTCTGCATGTTGGACCCCTTTCACCCTGTTCCTCAATGGTCAGGACCCCCACAGAGCAGGTATTATGGGTGGTGGATTATTTTTGGCACTGCAGTGACACTGGCATGGTGGTGGGCTGTTAGTGTGTGTTGTGCTGGTCCACTCACTGTCCACTCTAGACACTCCTACCTTGTTGGTCCACCTTGTAGATGTAAAGTCAGAGATAGTAGCTCATCTGTTACTGCATAGTTTGTGTTGGTCATCTCTAGTCCCTCTAGCCCGTCAGTGGGCAAAGGGTGCTGCCCACAGGGCGCTGTTGGCTGGAAATTTTTGGTTGGTGGACTATTCTCAGTCCAGCGTTGGCACCAGTGTTTAAAAAAATCCAGCAGCACTGCTGTGTCTGATCCACTCAGACCAGCGCAACATACACTAACACACCACCACTATGTGTATGTAATAAAAAATCCAAAATCCCCCAAAAAAGTATGTATAAATTGTCAAACACTGCTTTAATTATTCACATGTGAAAAAAAAAACATTAATGATGACAGTCATCATCCCTTATTGTTTATTACCAAATCTGTGACATAAAGCAATTTAACAAATACGGAAGACATAAATATGAAAAGTGTATGTGAGCGCTTTAAAAAACTGGCCATTTTGCGCACAATCTCAGGAAACTAGGCAGTGCTGATCAGGAGAATTTTTTTTTAATTAAATGTTTTTTCCTTTTTCGTAATAGAAAAAAAATCACACAATCAAGAAATCACAACATACTGGAAACGTTTAGCTCACTGTTACACGGCTGCATGATGTGAACATCTTTACACATATATTCTCTCAGTATATTATGAATATATCATTGTGTCATGCATGATCTTTTTAGACGGCTTCTTTTTAAATTTCTCAGTTCTGATGAGACTTGTCAACATTCAGAGTGCAGCATCTGTGTTACGTGAAGGTTAATGTCTTGTGTGTATTCAGTAATAACCAAAGAAGGGAAAAAAACACACCTGCTGCAATCATCGAAGAAAACCAAACCAACTCAAATCGCAACTCAAAAAATAATTCATATGTATTACAACGACAACACCGCATATATATATAAAAACCACTCAGAGATCAGTATTTTAGCACGGCTACTTTGGCAGTTGATCTGAAATTAAGTGCCTTTGTCCAGACTCAAAAGATGACCGATGTCTTTCTTCTGTTTTCTTTGGAAAGTCAACGTTTTCCGCCATCAAAAGCACAGCAACCCTAAAAATCCTACGTCTCCAGCTGCCTGTATCTACGCATCAGCAGCCCTGGCTGGAGGTCTCACAGGTTTAGCTCCAGATGAATAGCTAACAGCTACGGTGATCAGCTAGGGGAAGGTGATTTCTACATCAGCTATGGTATTGAGGTGACTGACCGGGTCACTGCCCACATCCGCAGCGACGCTACAGCATAAAGCCTCATCCGTTACTGAAGCTGCAGGCCCAGCCCCGTACAGCAGGGTGTAGGAGCTGCACCTTTAAGGCCAAGCTGCTCAGAGAACAGTCCAGCAGAGGGCGCCACCTCCACTGTGTGAACCGCAGCTCTTCCATGCTCAGTCCTCGAATCAGCCACTAGAGGGAACTGATGGGATATTTCCACCTTTCCTCCTTCTTTTACAGGAGTCTGTTATGTTCCGTCCTCTTTACTTTCCTCTGGTTTGGGATCGGAGTCTGAGGAACCTTGGCTTTTCTCTCCATCGTTCCCCTCTTCTAAAGGAAGTAAAAGGAAAGACATGTTTAGACTGCAATACAAATACGTTTACGTGGACTTTCACACTACCATTGCAACTCAACTATGAGTTGTACACAGATCCATATCATGCTTAAATGGTTCTTTGCATGGGAAATAGTTCTTCAGAATGATGGAGAATGTGTTGTATATGGTTCTATATGGCACCCAAAAGGGTTCTGCTATTGGTACAAGCTTGGCATTGGTATAGAATCATATACAACACATTCTCCATCAATCTGAAGAACCATTTCACCATGCAAAGAACCATTTATGCATGAAATGGCTCTATATAGAACTCATCATTCGAAATAGAACTACTCCCTTTACTAAAAAACCCTTGAAGAACCATGTTTAAGAGGTTTTGTAAGTTTAACAAGACAAATGGCCGAGACTAAGACAAGTCAGAGAACAAATACCACTGGGCGTAAGACAAGTTATAGGCAACATAAAAAGGTACTCAAGTTCTACAGCAGTAGATTTAAAATTACACTATGTAAGATTTGGGGATTTAGAGACCTCTCTGGTGGAAATGTGTAATTGCACACAACATGCAAAAGAACACTTTGTATCGTGGGTTGTGCTTTGGACCCCTTCCCTGAGAGGATGAGTCCACTGATTGAGAGCGCACTAAAAGAGTAATCATAGAGAACTTGGTGAAGGTCATGTCTTCTGAGGATGTGAGTGGATGATTTACTATTGTCATCATATCTTCATTAGTACATTATTAGTATATTTTGCATTTGAGGCGTAAACATCAAGTTCTATTTGAGCCTGTGCATGTGACATTAATACGTAAAAACAAAGATGATCTGGAAAAATCCCGCAAAATCCGTCCCGACACCTCTGACTTTTAAATTATTTCAGGCTTTATAGACTGACATGCACCATATTTTATTGTTTATTTTCTCCTGACTCAGTAATACAACCGATTTAAATTTTAACTAAACATATATAGTGCAGTTTTAAGAAGTGCTTTAATGTACACTATAGGTAGATTCATCCACTCAGGGAAAAGGTCTGCAGCACAACTGATGTTACAAAATGTTCTTCCATGCAATGGGTGCAGTTACACACTTCCACCAGAGAGGTCTCCAAATCCCCAAATCTTACATAGTGTAGCTTTAAACATGGAGACAAACTTGGTGTATTTACATCTATATTGTGCTTACTGTATTTTTAAAAATAATTTTGCCCATGAACACACAAGAACAGGTTAAACCAGGGGTGCTCAATCCTGGTCCTGAAGATTTACCACCCTGAAGAGTTCAGATCCAACAAACCTAGTTCTAATATTCAGATGCTCCTAAAGTCCTTCATTAACTTCAGTACCTAGATCAGGTGTATTAGAGTAGGGGTAGAACGAAACTCTGCATGGTGGTAGATCTCCAGGACCAGGATTGGGTACTCCTAGTTTAAACCTTCTGCATTTATAACAATATAAAAAGTCTTGCTAGGATATTCAAAAACTGTTCTTTTAAAAATGTGCATATCTGAATAGTGAAAGTGGTTACAGTGCCCTAAAATGCATTACAAGAGAACGAAACAAAATACACTATTGCAAGAAAGCTGGAGAGATCCACCGTCCCTTGAGAGCAGAAAGGCCGCAGGGCATGGTGAGCTTCTGTGTAGTCACTGCTGCGTTCTACATGGGCAGCTGTTTGTTAACAGGAGCTCACATAAAGCAAATTTTTAAACTAAAGCCTCATGCAGAGAGCCACTAACAAGCTCCCAAACCTCCCTGCTTTGCCTGAAGCTCAGTTATCTGCTCCATAATTCATGGCTGCCCTGCCTTTCAGTGCCAGATTAGATTACAGAAGCAGTTCCATGACACGAAACCTTCTGTAGGCCTGCCCTGCTCGCTCCACTACCTACAAATGACCACTAGTGATCGGCTTGAACACTGAGATAATCGTTATGATTGGCTTCAGTGCCATCAATTCAGCTGAGCTCAGTCGAGCTCAAGTTTCAAATGTAATGGCTTTTGTGGGGATGTTAGCGGACAGTAATAGAGTATTACATAAACAGCGTCAAAAGCAGGGGTTCAGTTTTAATGCTAATACACATCCTGTGCTCTAGGCTCGCTCTCTGTAGGTTGGAAAGGTCAAGTTAGTAGCATAATCATAGTAACACACAGCTAAAAGTGGCTTATTGCTTTTATTAAATGGAGATATGAAAAAAAATCCACCAACACTTAAAAAATACAAAGTTTATTTATTATTTATAAAAACCACAATATGCAGTTCCTCTGAAAATCAAAATAACGATTCTTTCATATCTACATAACAACTGACATTTGCAAAATTCTGACAAGTCCCACCTCTCTTACTTACGATTGATACTAGGGGTGGGCGATGTGACAATATTTTACTGTCATCATGATACATGATGCCACAATATGCTTTTCTGAGTATATCGTGGATATTGTCTGTACTTACAGAACACTGACTAACTGCAAGTTTCATTACAAAGTGAGCTTAGCCAGTCCTATTAAATGAGAGCACACTAGCTACTTATCTACAGCAGTAACAACCTTATTTTGTTTTCACCTGGTGTTCCTTTGAAAAGCTCATTAGTGCTGCTTAAATTGGTGCACTTGTGGTCCTGCAGTCCTCAGATCTGCAAGGACAGCAAGGCATTTTTCACGTTCTATGCGCCCTTGGTGTGACCTTTGTTGCGGATCACGCTGGAGTGGACTCAGCTGCGGCCTCCTTCCCAAAATTCATATCCTTGAGATAAAGGCAACAGCCAATCAAAGTGGAGGGGTTTGTTTACAGCTGTCTGACCAACATGGCAGGAAAGAGTCAGCATTTCTTTTTATTTAATGTGCCATTGACCAGTTTGTAATCCATATTGTTGTTGTTGTTGTTGTTGTTGTTGTTGTTGTTATACTGTAGATAAGCAAGATTAGCCCATTCAAAAGAAACTAATATAACCAATAACAAACTCGCCACGTTACAGCACACGCAGACCCTGCACATCACACGGCTCTGTCCTAAATGCCCATTTTTAAAACTGGTGCCCCCGAGGTCACTTGCTCTCGATGACTGCACATTGTAGACATCACCAAAATGTGGACCATATGGCTTAAAGCAGTGGTCTCCAACTTGGTCATGGAGACTTACGTTCCTGCAGAGTTTAGTTCCAACTTCCATCCAATAAACTGCCCCGCCCCTTACTTACCTCTAATACATCTGATCCAGCCAATCAGGGTTTTGGGAAGAGGTTGATTAGCTGAAGCAGGTGTGGCAAACTGGATCTAGGCTCTGCAGGAACGTAGCTCTCCCGGATCAGGGTTGGACACCACTGGCTTAAGGCCTCTGTATACTTTTTCTCTGGTAAACACTGTGACGAAATTGTGGACAAAGCAAACAACCGCAGACGTCGTGAGAAGGCTTTGCTCACACTCATGGCATCTGGGCAAACTACGCAACAAAGCCTGTGATTAGGTGGTTCAAACTCAACAGGCAAAACAAAAGCACAGACTATGCATGTTTGTAAGCTTATGAGTTTTGTTTTGCTCAAAGTATACTGAGGCCTTTAGGGTCGCATGTGGGACAGGCCTATTTTTGTCACGGGGTGCACAAGAACTGCTTGCTGCAAATAAAAATGGGTACATGTATAGTGTTGTACAATAGTTGTATTAATGTTACGTGGTGAAATTCTGCTAAATGGGTTTGGCATATTACAGCATATTACAACTCCCATACATGTATGTGATTCGGGGCAGCCCCAGCAGTAAAGTGTTTGCATGCTGCCATAGTGAGTACAGCTTCATATGTTCAGCTCAGTAAAACTGCAAATAACTCTGTAAAGTGATAATACTTTTATTATGTAATAGTCTTGAAATACATGTAACAGAGACCAGTATACCCAGTTGGGCTTTTTCAAAACACGCTATTTAAAGAGTTAAGAATCCGAAGCTAAACCTGACCTAAACCTTAAGTTGTATGCTGGCCGAGGCACGAACAGGTTGCCATACTCATTTCAGTTATGTTCCATCCATGTTTATTGTGTATAAAGAACAGTATTAATGAGCACAGCAATGCTAGCTGGTTTAGCTAGTTTATCCTTAGCTGCACCATGTGGTCTGGATGCCATTTTACTTGTGGTTTATGTTCTAGTTATTAAAAAGGATGATGTGGTTGTAAAATATAATTCATATTGACACTAACAGAATTGACCCTGATGCAAAATGTAAACATTTAGAAAACTGAACATGATATGAAAACACAAGCACTTTCACCACTATATGATCGTGATAGTCATATGATAGTCATTTATAAAAGGTTGTATTATTTTCATGAATTTATGTATCTCATGTCATCAGTTTGTTCTGGAAATATATTTAGACCAATGTATTGTTTCAGGCAGCAGAGTGTTTGCATGCTGCCGTGTTGTATGCTGGCCGAGGCACGTACAAAGACTCACACTGGTTGCCGTACTCATTACAGGAGGCAAATAAAACTGCATCATCCCAGTCCGGTGTCCATTATAGGCCAGGGCGGACGAACACCCGATAGAAGGGTCACACATGGAAGTGCGTCGTCTCGTAAAAGCATCAGCTGTAGTTTGTGAATATTTAAAAAGTTTGATTGGATGTTTGTGGCAGTCCGACATGGAAGAAAGTAAAGATGAGGTGACCTCACTTGCCTGTTTTGTTGATGTTGAGCTCAGAGAGAGTCTGGGAGAGCTGACTCGCATCCAGCCCACCGGAGTCCCCCAGAATGTCATGCACTGCATTCCTCCTGCCTGTCCTTCCAGAGGCTATGAAGTCTTCATACGTCGCCTCCACATCAGTCATATCTAACTCACTTCAACATAGCAGTGTCTGGGAGAAAAAGAGGCAGAGAGGACAGTTTTAAGCAGGATGATTTTTAAACCCCTGTCCCAAAGTAAAGCAACTTATCTAGTCACACTGACTCACATCTAGCAAACCTCCACATCCAGAGACCAAAGAGCAGCAGAAGAAACGGTCCTAAACACTAAATAAAACATTGTCCTGATGACATTCTGTTGCTCCAGCAGGTTCCTAAACACCAAATGGAACAAAGGCAGCTTCTCCTTGGCCAGTACAGCATGAGAACTTAGCAAATTCTCACGTAAGTTCTGACTTATTTATGTGGATCTGAATAATGACTGAGTTCATGGTGTACATTGATTTAAAAAAGGAAAAAGAACACAGAGTTTCTATGACATACTCTCTATTTAGGACATCAAAGAAATGCCCTGGTGGAAAGTGCCAGCATCATCCTCAGTGTCATCACAGTGCCCCAAAACTTGTCGCTGAAGATTAGTGCCATCGTGAAGTATAGGCAGGACAGCAAAGTGAATAAAGGAAATTAAAGTGATATTATCCTTAAGACTAAAGCTCTATAGTATCTCTATATTTACTGATATTCTCCTAAAGACTAAAGCTCTATAGTGTCTCTATCTTTACTGATATTCACCTAAAGACTAAAGCTCTATAGTGCCTCTATATTTACTGATATTCTCCTAAAGACTAAAGCTCTATAGTGTCTCTATCTTTACTGATATTCACCTAAAGACTAAAGCTCTATAGTGCCTCTATATTTACTGATATTCTCCTAAAGACTAAAGCTCTATAGTGTCTCTATCTTTACTGATATTCACCTAAAGACTAAAGCTCTATAGTGCCTCTATATTTACTGATATTCTCCTAAAGACTAAAGCTCTATAGTGTCTCTATCTTTACTGATATTCACCTAAAGACTAAAGCTCTATAGTGTCTCTATCTTTACTGATATTCACCTAAAGACTAAAGCTCTATAGTGTCTCTATATTTACTGATATTCTCCTAAAGACTAAAGCTCTATAGCGTCTCTATCTAAAGACTAAAGCTCTATAGCGTCTATATTTACTGATATTCTCCTAAAGACTAAAGCTCTATAGTGTCTCTATATTACTGATATTATCCTAAAGACTAAAGCTCTATAGTGTCTCTATATTTACTGATATTCTCCTAAAGACTAAAGCTCTATAGTGCCTCTATCTAAAGACTAAAGCTCTATAGCGTCTATATTTACTGATATTCTCCTAAAGACTAAAGCTCTATAGTGCCTCTATATTTACTGATATTCTCCTAAAGACTAAAGCTCTATAGTGTCTCTATATTTACTGATATTCTCCTAAAGACTAAAGCTCTATAGTGTCTCTATATTTACTGATATTCTCCTAAAGACTAAAGCTCTATAGTGTCTCTATCTAAAGACTAAAGCTCTATAGCGCCTCTATATTTATTGATATTCTCCTAAAGACTAAAGCTCTATAGTGCCTCTATATTTACTGATATTCTCCTAAAGACTAAAGCTCTATAGTGCCTCTATATTTACTGATATTCTCCTAAAGACTAAAGCTCTATAGTGTCTCTATATTTACTGATATTCTCCTAAAGACTAAAGCTCTATAGTGTCTCTATATTTACTGATATTCTCCTAAAGACTAAAGCTCTATAGCGTCTCTATCTAAAGACTAAAGCTCTATAGTGCCTCTATATTTACTGATATTCTCCTAAAGACTAAAGCTCTATAGTGTCTCTATATTTACTGATATTCTCCTAAAGACTAAAGCTCTATAGTGCCTCTATATTTACTGATATTCTCCTAAAGACTAAAGCTCTATAGTGTCTCTATCTTTACTGATATTCACCTAAAGACTAAAGCTCTATAGTGCCTCTATATTTACTGATATTCTCCTAAAGACTAAAGCTCTATAGTGTCTCTATCTTTACTGATATTCACCTAAAGACTAAAGCTCTATAGTGCCTCTATATTTACTGATATTCTCCTAAAGACTAAAGCTCTATAGTGTCTCTATCTTTACTGATATTCACCTAAAGACTAAAGCTCTATAGTGTCTCTATCTTTACTGATATTCACCTAAAGACTAAAGCTCTATAGTGTCTCTATATTTACTGATATTCTCCTAAAGACTAAAGCTCTATAGCGTCTCTATCTAAAGACTAAAGCTCTATAGCGTCTATATTTACTGATATTCTCCTAAAGACTAAAGCTCTATAGTGTCTCTATATTTACTGATATTATCCTAAAGACTAAAGCTCTATAGTGTCTCTATATTTACTGATATTCTCCTAAAGACTAAAGCTCTATAGTGCCTCTATCTAAAGACTAAAGCTCTATAGCGTCTATATTTACTGATATTCTCCTAAAGACTAAAGCTCTATAGTGTCTCTATATTTACTGATATTCTCCTAAAGACTAAAGCTCTATAGTGTCTCTATATTTACTGATATTCTCCTAAAGACTAAAGCTCTATAGTGTCTCTATCTAAAGACTAAAGCTCTATAGCGTCTATATTTACTGATATTCTCCTAAAGACTAAAGCTCTATAGTGTCTCTATATTTACTGATATTCTCCTAAAGACTAAAGCTCTATAGCGTCTCTATCTAAAGACTAAAGCTCTATAGTGCCTCTATATTTACTGATATTCTCCTAAAGACTAAAGCTCTATAGTGTCTCTATATTTACTGATATTCTCCTAAAGACTAAAGCTCTATAGTGCCTCTATATTTACTGATATTCTCCTAAAGACTAAAGCTCTATAGTGTCTCTATCTAAAGACTAAAGCTCTATAGTGTCTCTATATTTACTGATATTCTCCTAAAGACTAAAGCTCTATAGTGTCTCTATATTTACTGATATTCTCCTAAAGACTAAAGCTCTATAGTGTCTCTATCTAAAGACTAAAGTTCTATAGCGTCTCTATCTAAAGACTAAAGCTCTATAGTGTCTATATTTACTGATATTCTCCTAAAGACTAAAGCTCTATAGTGCCTCTATATTTACTGATATTCTCCTAAAGACTAAAGCTCTATAGTGCCTCTATATTTACTGATATTCTCCTAAAGACTAAAGCTCTATAGTAGTCTCTATATTTACTGATATTCTCCTAAAGACTAAAGCTCTATAGTGCCTCTATATTTACTGTATTCCCTAAAGACTAAAGCTCTATAGTGCCTCTATATTTACTGATATTCTCCTAAAGACTAAAGCTCTATAGTGTCTCTATATTTACTGATATTCTCCTAAAGACTAAAGCTCTATAGTGTCTCTATCTAAAGACTAAAGTTCTATAGTGCCTTTATATTTACTGATATTCTCCTAAAGACTAAAGCTCTATAGTGCTCATATTTACTGATATTCTCCTAAAGACTAAAGCTCTATAGTGCCTCTATATTTACTGATATTCTCCTAAAGACTAAAGCTCTATAGTGTCTCTATATTTACTGATATTCTCCTAAAGACTAAAGCTCTATAGCGTCTCTATCTAAAGACTAAAGCTCTATAGTGTCTCTATATTTACTGATATTCTCCTAAGGACTAAAGCTCTATAGTCTCTATATTTACTGATATTCTCCTAAAGACTAAAGCTCTATAGTGCCTCTATATTTACTGATATTCTCCTAAAGACTAAAGCTCTATAGTGCCTCTATATTTACTGATATTATCCTAAAAATGAAAGCTCTATAGTGTCTCCATATTTACTGGTATTATCCTACAGACCAAAGCTCTATAGTGTCTCTATATTTACTGATATTCTCCTAAAGACTAAAGCTCTATAGTGTCTCTATCTAAAGACTAAAGCTCTATAGTGTCTCTATATTTAGTGATATTCTCCTAAAGACCAAAGCTCTTTAGTGTCTCTATATTTACTGATATTATCCTAAAAATGAAAGCTCTATTGTGTCTATATTTAGTAATATTCCCCTAAAGCTCTATAGTGTCTTTATATTTTGTGATATTATCCTTAAGACTAAAGCTCTATAGTCTCTCTGTATTTAATGATATTATCCTAACAATGAAAGCTCTGTGGTATCTCTACATTGTCATATTTATTCTAAAAACTAAAAGTCTACAGTATCTCTATATTAAGTGATATTAGTGATTTAGTGAGTTTATCATAAAGACTAAAGCTGTACTGTATCTCTATTTTAGTGATATTATCCTTAAAACCCTATAATATTTCTGTATTTGGTATCTCTAAATTTAGCAATACTGTAATAAAGATTACAGCTCTATAGTATCTGTGTAGCGATGTCATCCTAAAGATTAAAGCTGCATAGTATTTATGTATTTAGTGATACAATCCTAAAGACTAAAGCTCTACAGTACCTCTATATTTAGAGATATTATCCTAAAAACCTATACTATTTCTGTATTTCGTATCTCTAAATGTAATGATACTATAATAAAGATTATAGCTTTACAGTATCTCTACATTTAGTGATATTATCCTAAAGACTAAAGCTCTACAGTACCTCTATATTTAGAGATATTATATTATAAGCTCTGTAGTATTTCTATATGTAGTATCTCTTTATTTAGTGATATTATCCTAAAGACTAAAGCTTTATAGTATCTATTTATTTAGTGATATCACAAGAACAAAAGCTCTATAGTACCTCTATATTTGGTGATAATATTCCAAAGCTATACAGTAGTTCCTTTACAGGAACTTCAAAATTGACCGTTCTCTCCTTTGTCCATATATGGAAACAAAGTGGCAAAAAAGGCCTTTTTTGAGTGTACTGTTTTTATGATGTCACAAAAACCATCAGATTTGCCTACATCCACTATGAAGCTAATGTAGCTAAATGTAATGGACATTTATGTTACCCAACATCATTTTGCTTCTATTATATTAGCCTTGTAGCTCCAGTGCAACTAAAGAAGCGAACTGCGGACACCAAGTCCTGGCTAAATGATTACACTTGTGGTAAGGGGGAAACCGAAAGGTTAACCATTCCTTTAACAAAGATCATATTCTGCAGCTCTAGTATTCAGCAATGG